ACAAAATAGACTGGATAATAAGTTAGAATTTACCTGTCATCCAGAGAACCTGCAAATAAAGGGATAACAGTGACTGATTTGTCTAAGAAAACTGGCAAAGTTTCAGGTTGATAAGTCAATGATGATCTTATTTTATAAATCGTATGTTGAGTCTGTGCTGACCTTTCCTCTCCTGTGCTGGTTTGGAAATCTTAACATTAAGTCAAAAAATGCACTCAACAGAGTTGTACACACAAGTAATAAGATCATAGGAGTTGAACAAACTGTTTTACTATAGAAGAAAAATAATGTCATAAATTCAGTGTCTAAAAATATTCTGATTCCAATGAGACTATTTTTCTTCCATACCTGTCACGTTCTGTCGTCCTGGCCACACCTCCGCTCTCTAACCCCCCCACCCCTCCCCACTTTGATGCATTTTTCAAATTTCGCCTTGGGGCGGAGTTATCTTTTCACAGGGGGGTGAGATACACTTTAAGTGAAATAATATAAGATAATAAGATTCATCTAATGCTAATGAAATTGCAGACTTTTATGTGTTATTATTTATAAAAAATCTGCACACCTTTTGATAAATATCAGTAATACATTTCCGTTATTAATCAATATTCTCTGTTCATCATTCTGGTTTATCCAAGGCCTAAGATCCATAGGGCCACACTACAGGAGCTGTTCATCTGAGGGGCATGTGTCTAAAAAAATTTAACCATGAAATGTTTAAGATGTTTATAAGATGTTCAGCCCTTAAATGTTTGCACTTAGAATTTTATAGAATCACTTTAAATACTTTTCACTACGTTAAATGTCTACAATTATGGTTCAAATAAAGAGCTTAATGTTTACTAGATTGTTAGCTAATTATTTTTGAGTTAATAATGCCTTAATGAACAGTGATTAAAAAAATAACCTGTAAAACTGATGTTAAATATGACGTGGTTGAAAATTTGGGTGCACCTAACTTTTGTGCTGGTGCGCCTAAGAAAAAAAAATGTTAGGCAAACCGGTGCTACCAGTGCAAAAAGTTAATCTAGAGCCCTGAATTGGTGGCTGACTAAATACTTTTTTCCCCACTGTACAGTATCTTATAAACCACCGAGCAGACTCTAACACTCATACAGTAATTATGTAAAACATACCTGCAGCTCATACATTATTGGAGTCAATCAAATTTTAAATGTCTGCCACTGCTAATTAATATTATTCGGCACAAAGTTAGCTCTAACTTTAGTGCAATATATGTGAGTTTGATAAAGATTTATGTGGAAGTAGCTGAAAATTATTCTCTACACATACTCTTAAGTGCTAATACATTTTGCAAGATCTTCCAAGATTACATGGAATTGTGCCTTATGTCATTTTTAAGATTTGTCCTAAATAAATATAACTCTTCATCATTAGCCTGAAACTTTGAAATGAATGGTGGCAGGCTATATGTTTTCATTTGCATTTTTTAAACCTAATTCAGGCAGATTTTTGTCACGGAATGATTTCCTGTAAAAGTGCTAACTTTAATGTTCCTAATCGATTAACAAAACAAGCCTACCTGAAAATGAAGATGAAAAGCATCAGCAGCATGCAGAAGGTGGCCACATTGTCCATAGTCTTCATCAGCACCACCAGTTGCCTCTGTAGGGCTGGCATGAAACGGACCAGCTTCAGTACTCTCATCAGCCTGAAAGTCCTCAGCACAGAGAGACCACCACCCTGCTGACCTACAATCTCCCATACACTGTAGGAGGAGAGGACATTAACACAAACACATGGTTTGATTTAGTGCCTTGAGGTGATGAACTGTCCTCAAGTCAGACATCCAACATCCCAGACTAATAATCTCAGATCCCCAACCTGTTCAACTGTCATGGATGTCTACTCCCCTACTGTTTTGAAACATGCTGAGTTCTCACAAATCGATGACAAAGCCAAATCTCAGGCTCATCTAAATTAGCCTCTTAATGTTGTTTTCTAGCTGCTCCCTTCTGCACAGTGAGTTAATTCACACAAATATTTGGCAATTGTTTCATGACTGATGCCCTTCCTGACGTAATCTGGCCTCAGGATGACCCTAAATGTGACATACTAAACTAATATTTTCAGGAAGTATTTTAGATCTGTAAACAATTCACTAAATACACTAAGGCTTAGTGTATTTAGTCATCCATTGATATTCTTTCCAGTAATTAAATTAGGGCTTATTTATTCTAGAAGTCAGTTGGGGAAAGTGAGGGGAACTCACCACTCTCACATCCTGACATGAGACCAAATGTTTTAGCAAGCAGTAAAAAAAAAAAACCAACAACATTCGCCATCTCCGGTAGTCACTTTCCTCATTGTCCCATAAATACAGGTCATTCCACTTTAAGCTCTGTCTTGGTTCAGACCAGCTCTTGAAGACAAAACCAGATTTGATACATTGCAGAATTCAATGGCTACTAGTCAGGAGACCCATGAGGAAGTGGAGAGGAATCTTTTCGCTTTGTAACACGTTGCTCTTTTCAATTTAACAACGGGAAGTGGCAGAAAATGAATGGAAGAATGGAATTTCAACTTTTTTTTTATTTTGCCTAAAATACATAGCATGTTTGGTATTTATTTCATGCAGTAACAAATTAAACTTTGAAGCCAAAAAGGTCTTTCCATCTCAAAGACCTTTTTGAAGCCAAAAAGGTCTTTGAGATGGAAAGACCAACTTATACCCCTGTTTCATTTGTTTCAATTCACTCTTTCATGCAACACAATCTGTAAACTCCACATAGTAAAATATTAAGACAAGGAATGATCCTAAGAAGTAAAATACTATTAAATAACAAAAGACTTTCATCAAATCTAACAATAAAACTAACAATAAGACAGAATCAAATACTAAAAGTACTGTCAGGCAGTAGAGATGTTTAATACTGTTTCCAGCTACTGAGAACTGATTTGTCATGAGCTGTAACCATGGCACTCATTGTATTTAACAGTTTTTCAGAGTGTTTGCTGCTACAGATGCATCTCAGTAATCCAGGTAAAAAAAATCAAAAAAAAAAATTGTATAGGTCTTCTGGACGGGTTCTTTTCTAATGAAACGTTTCGTCTCTCCTCCAAGAGACTTCTTCAGTCTGAGAGTTTCAGGCAAAACTCAGGCTTTTAAGCCTTGCCTCCATGTGACTGATACTCACATCACATGGGTATCGTTGACACCTAATTAACACCTATTGTTAACAGGGGGTGGAGTGATACTGGCAATGGCAGCGCTGTAGGAGGGGGACAACTGAAAACGGAGGCCTCCACYTCTGTTTAATGATGGACGGTCTTTCTTCACAAAATGGCTTCTTTTACTCCTCTCTCAAACCAACGTTCCTCTCTATCAAGAATGAGAACATCTTCATCTCTGAAAGAGTGACCGCTGGCCTGTAAATGAGTGAAAACTGCTGAACATAAATCTATGGATCTGTGTTTGATTACTCTGGCTGGCTTTCTCAAGGACCAGGATGTGTGACACACAGATCTGAATTTTAGAATTGAAATTGATTTCTAGAACTGAAAGTGAAAGTAGTCATATTGAATTTTTCATAGACCAAAATACAGTTTCAAAGCAAATTGATTCAAATTCTAATCTTTAAATTCAGTTTCAAATCATTAAATTCAGTTTCAATTTAGTGAAATTCATTTTCAAACCAATGCATTCACTTTCAAATTATGCACATTCTGATTCAATCTGAATAATTCAAAGTCAATTCCTGCTGGCACAAGATTTATCCCATACACTTGGCTGTTGCTGCATCAGTTAAAAAGTGTTAATCATCACATCCCTTCTGACCACTCATTGAAATACCATCCAATATTGCTTTTTAGAATTAGGTTTAGGTCAGATGTGCATTATGACAATAAGATAAATCAATATTTTCATTTGTGTTTTCCAAGGATTCACCTTTCAAAATATTGTCCAAGAACATTATAACTGAACTCATCCACTAGTCCTAGTGATCATGCAGAAAAACCTGGAATCATGGTAAGTGGTCTGAAGTCCCGATGACACAAAAATAAAACYCTTTGGTTAGTGGAGGAAAGATAGCTGATGCTGACATTTAGCCTTTAAAYATACTCAGTTAGTTGTTAGCTCTGTTGCCTTGCAACAAGAAGACCTAGCATGTTCTTTCTATTGTATGTGTAAGGGAACCTTTCGGTGGAAGGGAGTGGTGCTTAAAACATTTACTGGAACTAGCCTACAGGAAAGCTGGCCCCAGTTTCGATTAAAATTCCAAGTTCCAGTTTAAYGCCTAAATTTTATTATGGTCAGTGGGTCTGCAAAGTATAACACAGCAATAAGCATATCACATCAGGTGTTTTGTTTTTGTCATGACACCTACCTGATCACCACAATAATTCCATCAAAGATATTGTAAGGATTCTTGATGTAGCCAAAAGGTCCATAGACCAAAATCTTCAGCAGCATCTCCAGGGAGAACAAACTTGTGAAGACAATGTTACTGATCTCCAGGGCGTTGGTCAACTCTTCAGGCTGGAGAAACAGAGGAAGAGGGAAAAAAAGAGACCTAAATTAATAGCTCTAAATGAACATCTATGAAATATTCTTGAAATTCAGAATATCGCCAGATTGGAGCAGCAAGATGTTCAAATGACTACAGAATCAACACCTGCTCTGTTATTATGCGCAACTAGGAAATATGCCAATGACTGCACACTTTTTGAATATGACAAATCCCTTCGGCCTCTTCTCCCTCTCTTGCACACAATAAACACATCCGACCTTTATCTCACACCAGAGCACACACAGCAATCACAGTGCTGACATGCCTCGTCTGCTCAAAGCTCATCAGAGAGTTGGACTGCCACTCATGTCTCAATCAAACAGCTGGTGTGTGGGCATGTGTGTGTTGTTTGTGAGCAGACAAACAGGCAGTGAGAACAAGCAGACAAGTGACAGAAAGAACATGAGCAAAAGATAAAAGGTGCAGCACATCCAAATGCAAACAGAGTATGTAAATAAGACTTTTGTAGGGAGTGTCTGTAAATATCTGTGAGGAAAAAAGAGCCGACAAGAATTTTGTTATGTGTCCTTGGACTGTGGAACGTCCTATTCAGTTTTTATATGGTCTTTCATCCCCCTGCAATAAACAAGTTACACAATTCAGCATCTTCTACACACTTTCCATGACTCTACAGAGCACAGAAAGTGCTGAAGGCCTGATCTTGCTTCACATGCTCATCATCATAAAAATTATTGTGTGTTAAAGTGTGTAAATGTGTATCTTTACAGTCTCAGTACCACGCTGTGTGTTCCTATGAAGACAGTTGCTGCCACAGCAGAACTGATCCCCAGGCTGAAGTGGTAATGTAGTCTAATGTAAACACAGTATGTGTCATAGAGACCATCCTGGTGGGCTGTACTTAATCACATCACACCATGACTGTTTAAGAAAGGATTACTCAACACTTGTATGTATACACAAAGAAAGAAATATGGAGATAAGGATCTACAGTTGAATATAAATGTCTTTGATGTGTTATGGCACCATTTTGTATTAGAATCTTAAGYAACAGTGTTTTGATGCTTGCTGTTTTTTTTTATTATTGTCTCATACATTTTGTAGTACTGTTCAGTTCAAACCTGTGTGAGAGGCAGAGTAAGAAAATTTGTATGTTCATCTCAGGGCCACATACAAGTTGAATTAGGTTGTTGTCAGACCCAAGCCTCACTTGCAAAAGAGATCTGTGATCTCAATGGGATATGTCAATTTAAATGTTAAAAAAAAGTGGACAAAAATGCAATCATGGACTTAATGTCTGTCCCAAACATTAATCCGCGGTAAAAAAAAAAAAACAACACAGGGCCACCCTGATCCTATCCCTGCACTTTGTCCCAAAACAGGTACAGTGAACCTTATATTGTTTTTAACTGTATTGGTAGATACCCGTAGCATCCATGCTTGCCTTACTCAGTGTTCAAMTGCAGTCATTYACACAWACGGGCTGTGTCTCAATTCATGGGTTGCAGCCGATGTCGGCCTCATTTGTTGGCCACTTATGTCAYWTTCCYGTGCCGTAGGCTGTCCMATTTTGTCGGCACCTACACTTGCGGTCAAGAAATGCAGTCGACAAAACCCCGAAAAAGTTGGCTGCATATAAATATCCTACTCGGCCGATGGTATCCCAGGACTCATTGTGCCGTCAGCAAATTAAACATAAAAACAAAGACGGCAAAGTTTTTTTWATGATGGAGTTTGGAAAATTATCATGGACCGAAAAATGTAAGTCAAACAACATATCTGCAACTTTGCAATGAGATGTTAAATAAAATGCAGTTACAAGTACAGATACTGGAGCTAAACCCAAAAAATTAATGCTTTTTATATATTTCCTTGTAATGTTTATCTATTAAAACTGAATTTTATAAAAGTTATACCTTAAAAAAACAACTAGAAGTAATGTGATATAAAACGTATCACCATGGTAACAAGTGTTCATGCAAACTTACATCTTCTGTAGGGTAGACCGTCTCATTTCACAGCCATTTATGCAGCTGACACGAGCGGCCTACGGCCTATGGCCCACGTCAACTGCAGCAAGCCTCCAACCATTGTTGGATGCAGTATTGGATGGACTTTTATTGAAACATTATTTTCAGTCAAATATGTTTTTTCTTAAATGTTTACCAATTGAGAATTTTTCTCTTTCTCTGGAGAATGGTAGACTAATGGGCAGCAGCAGTTACATTTCTATTGTTATTGCTAATGTACTGTATTTGCTTCTAGCATTTTGTTAACACACACCCATATGCTTCAGAGCAACACAATACTAAAACTCTTCTTTCGAGGGCAGCTGTGGTGGAGTGGTTAGGGGTGTTGTCCTGGAACCGGAAGGTTGCTGGTTCGATCCTCTGTCCAGCTGTTTCAGTTGTTGTGTCCTTGGGCCTTGCCTACTGATGGTGGGCAGAGGGTCAGGTGGCACTGGTGCATGGCAGCCTCTGTCAGTGTGCCCCAGGGCAGCTGTGGCTACAATGTAGCTTACTACCATCAGTGTGTGAATGGGTGAATGTCTGAAGTGTAAGGCACCTTGGGGTCCAAGTGGACTTGATAAGGTGCTATATAAGTTCAAGCCATTTACCATTTCAATGGTAATCATAACACACACAGTAATGACTCAATAAAATGGTCAGCTGCTCTTTTTTTGTTGCTTTCCCTCTTAAAGGGGCAATATCATGTAAAATCAACTTTTTTGAGTTTTATACAGTATCATGTTATAATGTTATACTCTCATAAAAAACATGCCCAAAGCCTTGCTTTTGTTCATGCATGTTTGAGAAATCCTGTAGTGTTTTTAGGCAGCCATACTAAGGAACAAAATGACAGGTGGGGACCAGAAACACCTTTTGGGACCAGAAACGCCCCTGGGACATGTCTTTAAGCCGAACTTCGTCATGACAGAGCACCCCCCTCCCCACACACCCTGCCCATGACTCCTGAAGAGCCTGCAGGGTGAAAGTGAAACTTTGTCTGCTGAGCTCCACTACTTCTCACTCAGTGAAGCTCTTTTCAGGTTCAAAATACTTTTGAGGAAATGTATTTTCAGATGCCAAGTAAACTGCATCATAGCAGCCCCCCTCCCCATCGCAAGTGTGACCC